CTATATAATCTTTACCTGAAGTTGCCTCAGGGTCGACTGCTCCAACCAGGCCTACGTGTCTTGGAAGGATGGTCAGCCCCAGCTAGCTGGCCTAATAAAACTATGCTTGATTTTTGCATCTCCATACTCATGCATTTGTTTTCCTGAAGAGACCCACCAAGTCACGGACCCTAACACCGTCTCAGAGATTCACTTGCATCCGCCTCTTGAATGCTGGGGTTAAGCATGTGTCACCACATCCAGACCTCGATGTAATATATTTTTGATGTGGAATTGGTCCTTGGGTAAGAAGTATTCAAATAGGATTCACTGGAAGCTGTGACCTTGCTAATCAATCTGAATTTTAATTACGTTTTTGCATTCTTTGAATACTCTGCTGTAGTCATATCTCTCTCTCTCTCTCTCTCTCTCTCTCTCTCTCTCTGTGCTAATAAACTTACAGAATAAATAGTATTACATTAGAATGCAAAAACTTCCAAAGAGAGGCCAATGGCTGCTGTAGTTTTGGCTAATTTTGTAATCATACCTGCTGGTTACTCAATGTGTTAGCAGTTTTCTGTTGTGACAAAATGAGAGACCTCAACGTAGAGAAGAAAGGCCTATTTGGCACCTAGTTTCAGGAGTTTCAATCCAGCAGATGCTGGCCCTTCCACTTTTGGCCTGTGGTGAGGCTTTACACCAAGGCATGGATGACATGATCACATCAGGTGAGAATGTGAGAAGCAAAATGAAAGCGAGGAAGGGACCAGGGACAAAAGACACCTTCAAAGACATGCCCAGTGGTCAACTGCTTTGAGTAAGCTCCATATCCCAAGGTTACCACCAATACCTAGTGTCCCATTAACTTAAGACTTCATAAATGGATGAATCCATTTAGGAAGCCAGAGTCCTCATGTTCCACCACCCACAAAAGGCCCTGCATCTGAAAACTGCTGTACTGGGCATCAAGCCTCTAACACAGGATCTCCTGGGGGATATTTAAGACCCTAACTATAACGAGACATTATCAGTTTAAACTAAATATTTAAAAATTTTGGAAATCTAACCTTATCCAGCAAATAAAAGTTACTAGAAATTTTTTGCATGCTCAAGGCTGATTCTGCATTTCACATCATGTTGATTCTGTATGATACCTTTCTAAGGGAATGATAATGAAAAAGGCAAATGCTATTTTAATATTATTATGAAAATAATTTTTTACTTTTTACATTCCCTGAAAGGAATGTAGAAGTCCTGAGACCACACTTTGGGAAGGGTGAGTTTATGTTAGAATATAAAAATATGAAGGAGAAAATTTTAAACATGAATTCCTGCCCCGCCCCCCTGTTCATTGAGAACGGCCTCAAAATATGTTAATATTTCTCAAAGTCACTCAAATTTAATGACTTAACTTTGTTACAGAGTTCGAGACCACCAGGAAAGACCATTCAGAAGTTCTGAATTGGTTGAATTAAGCTTTTACTATTAGAATTTTAAAGAAAATCCTCAAGGGGGCAGGCAAGCTGGTACTTTGACAGCTGCCTTGAGGAGGAGAATGGAGGTGAGAAGGAAAGAAAGCCATGAAGCCATGCAGGTTTAGTGTCCACATGGGGGTCAGACACCTGGCTGGCTGGCAGCCACATGGTTGGAGAAGGAAGCTTTAGAGAAAGTAAAGAAATGCAAGATGATGGGCTGGAGAGATGGCTCAGTGGTTAAGAACAGTGGTTGTTCTTGCAGAAGACCCAGGTTCAAATCCCAGCACCCACACAGCAGCTAACAACTGTCTGTAACTCCAGTCCCAGGGTATCCAACAGCCTCTTCTGACCTCCGTGGGCAACGCATGACACAGGTGCACTTACCTACATGTAGGCAATACATGCATACACATAAAATATTTTTAAAAAAGACAGTTGCAGCTGGGTGTGGTGGCGCATGCCTTTAATCCCAGAACTAAGGAAGCAGAAGCAGGCAGATCTCTGTGAGTTGGAGGCCAGCTTGGTCTCCATTAGGGAATCCAGGCCAGCTGTGGCTACAGGGAGACCTTGTCTCAAAAAGACCCCCCCCAAAAAAAGAGACTTGCTTCATCTTCTGAAATGGTATCACTTAAATACCTTTCTGACTCTATCCAAGTGAGTCAGAATTTCCAGGATATTTTTGAGTCCAGAAAATGGATCTAATTAAAGCAAAGTGCTACAAAGATTCAGTATACCAAACATTAATTAGAGGGCAAGGGTTACAGCTCAGTGGGAGAGTATGTTCATGGCTCTGGGTTTAATCACCAGCACTGAAAAAAATTAATTCCAGAGGACTGAGTAGAATAATAAGGGGAATTTATTGTGGTGATTTGTTTGGAATATTTTAAATGTTGCATTATTGTTCTTTTTTTCTGGATATTTTAAATGCCCTTTCTCTCTTCTAAAATAGTTTATAACCCAGTTCTGTGGACTGATTTTGCATGCTAAGATAAAACATTTTTTCATGTATCTGATTTTCACTGACTTGTCAGAATTTAGAAATTTACATGGCCTCATTCTTCTGTAATTATTTGAATATACTCAGTAAGAAGTAACTGCCTTGTTTATCAGGATATAATTGAGCAAATGTCTAAGGCCTTTCACAGAGTGTTTTGAGAATGACACTCTTTTAATCATATGTGAACTGGCTCAACAAACTTACCTAAGTTACTCCATTTTGTTCAGAGACATATTAGTAGCAACTTTGCTCCATGCCAAAAGGAAAAGGAGGGCAACCTTGGGTCTTGGGAAATTGTCCTAGCCATGAATCATGGAATGTGCTAATTCCAGACATTATACATCTGGCTAACCAGCTTGTTTTCATTTCTTGCTATCTTGGGTCACCTTGACACAGGGCATAAGACCAACCTTGTTATCCTGTTACTGTACGACCGCCTGGTAACTGCTGAGTTCAGCTTTCTTACTATAATTGTTATGACTAGGGAGTTGACTAATTTTAAAGTTACAAAGTTGATTGCCAAGTTATATGACTGTATCACTTGTCCGTATAATGATTGGTTGTTGATGAATAGAGTCAAAGTTCTTCTGTGTTGTACAAACCTGATTGGTTCACAAATGTTCTGTTTGAATAATATTTCTGTAATCCTATAAAAACTCTGACCTGACAATCATCAGGGCTGCTTCTACTCCCGAGATAGACAGCCCGGCAGTCGAAAAATAAAATTTACCTTGCTACTTTTCTTAAAGTGGTGTTGGTGATTTTTTGCAAACTCCGTCCTATAACATTTGGAGGTTCCACCAAGATCCGGAGGACTTCTGGGCCTGGTAGCTTTGGGAAATTCCCTGAGAAGGGAGCTGCCTGGCAGTATTCTGAGGACTCCCCAGCAGGGGACCTGCATCAGCCTAGGCTTTCTGGCAGTACAGGCAAACTCCCTGAGAGGGGACTTGCATCAGTCCTGGCTGCTACTGCTTCCCCAGTCAGACCTCCGGTTTCTCCCTCCACACCATTGGCAAAGTAAGAGAGCGCTCAAGAAGCCACTTTCGTTTTTGGTTTCTCTTCTGGTTCTGGCTAGCTGGTGATCTGTCACCATCTGGTTCTGGGCTCTGATCAGAGAAACTAGGTGGGAAGCTGGATGCAGCAAACCTCCCCCTAGTTGGGTTCCAGTGGAGATGTCCCCGGACCTGCCTGGCCATGAGCCCAAAAGCTTGTCTTTTGGGACTTGGATTTGATGGCAATCTGGTTGATGTTATTTGTCTGTGCTTATCTTATTCTGTTTTGGTCTTGTATCTGTGTTCGTCATGGGTGGGAGTGTGTCTCAGAGTGCTACCCAGTAAGAGTGTATGTTGAACAACTTATCTGATTTCAGGTCATGTTTTGGATGTACCTAGTTTTAATGCAATTATGTCATGTTATGTCTCCTGTGCTGAGATCTCAAGTAATTCTGTCATGTATGCCTATGATTATTGTCTTCATATGTTTCCATCTAAATATCTTTAAATTTATTGGCTGAACTGGTTGTTTAAGGTACTTATTTGTTGTATACGTCTTGGTTTGGGTTTGCTTTCATAATATTTGTTTTAAAATATCTCTTTGGTTTGCTCACTTTGGAAGTATTTTGGTTTTGACATTCTTGGTCTGGTTTATATTGCTTTCAGACCTCTCAAGGCTTGAAAATGATTTGAGAAAATTAAACTCCTGTTGGTTATAAATTTGATCTAATATGTTAACTCATCTTCATTGCTGGAAATAAATTCTGGGACTGGTCTTCCTGTCTCATCCTTTTGGCCTTGTCCTTTTCCCTCAGTTTCCTGCAGCACTGCTCTATATGCAGACAGATATGGTCTGTTTGGGGAGGGACACTTTGCATCCTTGGAAACTCTGCTGGCTCAGATATGACTCTGTGCTTTTCTCCCTTGGAACAAGAAAAATCAGTCTTGGCTTTAAAACTGGTTTGTCATTACATTATGTCTAACAATAGTATTTATTATGTGAGACCATTATAAATGTATAGACTTATGTTTAATAGTAAGAGAACTATTATTAAACAATTTACTAGAAATAAATTCTAAGTAAAACATCTCTAAACCTTTAAAGGAGACTTGGTTGTTTAAAACCTGCTTCAAGGCTTACAAGGGCATCTCAAAGTTTATACAGTATGCAATC